TTATATTATATTATATGTAATATACAATATATTTAAAACAGAAATATTGTGGAGTATTTCAGTCAATGGAGACTGAGCCATTGGGAGAAATCAATACCATAGATATTGGTCAGGTGCACATGATGCTTAAATGCTTAGGATTCTGGTCAGACCATTTGAATGCTATTGTATTACTGTATTATTATTAGTTTTATTTATATGCTGCATTTCTCCCAGCAATTTTTTTAACACCACGCCACTGCCAGTGGCGTTCTTCACTTGCAGCTGGTTGACATAGTGAGGTAGTCTCACACTCCAGTCCAGACTTTCAAAGGCTACATCATTGATTCCAACCCCTGTATGGGCTCACTTAAAAATCCCAATTCTGAAATGGGAGCCCGTCTGTTTTTTTATCAGAGCAGACCTAATCATGTGGCCTTCATCAGTACATCCAGCAAATGCCAATGGAGGCATTGGCTAAGGATAGGGCTGGCTTTACCAGATGCTCCAGGAAAGGGGTCTCTTTCACATTGCCTGCTGCCTGACTCAGGGGCTCTGTCCCTGAGCTGCGGCCAGGGGCTACCCCATCAGATCTGTTTTGTACTCTCCTTGGGGCAGAGACTGGTCCTTTGTCAGGTGAAGGATGGAAAGGAACTATAAAGAAGTCCTAACATGTGCCTGGATCAGAAAAGAAATCCAGAGTTGCCCAGCCAGCTCCCGCCAACCTAGCGGTTCGAAAGCATGCAAATGCGAGTAGATAAATAGGGACCACCTCGGTGGGAAGGTAACAGCGTTCCGTGTCTAAGTCGCACTGGCCACGTGACCACGGAAGATTGTCTTCGGACAAAAACGCTGGCTCTATGGCTTGGAGACGGGGATGAGCACTGCCCCCTAGAGTCGAACACGACTGGACAAAAATTACCTTTACCTTTTTAAACCCCATATTATTATAAAATCCATATTCTTGTGCCAAGTTGTAGTCTCCCCCCCCTCTCCAGGTACAAAAAAAGAGAACTGGTCCTTGCCAGAGTAAAATGCACCTGCATTTTTACAACAAGATGGCCAGAAAAGCATGCATCAGATCCCACCGGGCTCACTTTGCCAGGGGTGATACTAGAAGGGATGATACTAGAAGGAAGACCTTTAGATCTGAAGAGTCTGGGGAAAGTTTTACTCACACGTCACTGCTTGCGAACCGCCACAGAGTCAATGAAGGAGAGAAAGCATTCAAATGCAAGGAGTGTGGGGAATGTTTTGCTTCCAGTTCAGTTTTTGTGATCCATCAAAGAATTCACACAGGAGAGAAATATCCTAACATGTGCCTGGATCAGAAAAGAAATCCAGAGTTGCCCAGTTTCTGGTCACGGTATGATTCTGGCCTGGGAAGCTTGAGATGGAAACTTGTGATGGCTTTGGCGAGGCTTTTCTCTCTCCCAGAAAAATCCTGCCTTTGGACAGATTCCCCTTCTCCCTGCTCCGATCCGCGCCCGATCACACTCAACTGGGCTTCTCATCCATGTGCTCGGGCGGTAGATTGGCTGGGCCTGGGTTCGCCCCTTGCCAGGAGCCGGGCAGGGCTTCGGTCACGTGGCGAGGAGTGGAAAGCGATCTTGCCTTCGAGAGCACCAAGGACAAAAGCGGGGCGGGCATCGTCGGTGGAGAGCCTGCGAAGGGACGGGTCCCCGCTGGAAGGAAGGCTGGCGGAACTTGGGAAGGAGGCGAGCGGCCCGGTAAACAGAGAACGACTGAGGCCCCGCTTGGCTTTGGAAAAAGAAGAAAGGCCGCAGGAAGAAGGAGGAGAAGACAAAGGGGCGGGGACGGGGGGGGCGGGCAGAGAGAAAAGACAATAGAGCTATCTTTGGGGTTGGGTAGCCAATGATGCAAACGACGAGAGGGGGAAGGGAGAAGGCGAGGTTGCAGAGCGGACTTCATTTTGGTGGAGAGAGGCTTGCCTTTCCGAGCAAGGTACTGTAGGACCGCGGTATCCGCGGGGATCGGTTCCAAGTCCCGCGGATACCAAGAAACGTGGATGCATCGAACGCTGTACGTTGCATCGTCTCTGGCTCCCTCTAGCGGCTATATATGGTAAATGCACACAGGAAATTTATATATACCAAGAAACGTGGATGCATCGAACGCTATGCATTGCCTGGTCTCTGGCTCCCTCTAGCGGCCCCATCTGGTAAATGCACACTGGAAATATATACTGTACTGCAGTGGTCCCCAGCCTTGGGCCTCCAGACGTTCTTGGACTACAACTCCCAGAAGCCTTCACCGCCACCTCTGCTGGCCAGGATTTCTGGGAGCTGAAGTCCAAGAACATCTGGATGCCCAACGAGTGGGTTATTTAGTATTTTTAGGCAGTGGAATAAGTGATTCAGCGGATACTGATTCTGCAGATGGGGGGGCTACTATAGATTCTAGTGGGCTACAGTCTTCAGAGATTATACCAAATAAAACCTGTTGGTCTCGAAGGTACCACAAGATTTCGTTTATTGCTTCTTCCACCTCTTCCCTCAGTTTTGGTCCTCACAGGCCCTCTCTCCAGGTCTTCTATTGATTTCTGAAATGCAGGAATGGAAAACTATTAAAACGTGACCTCGTTTGCCTCCAAAAGGCTGAGGAAATACCAGAGAGTTGTAAAGTGGGAAGAGGCGATATCATCATCATTTTAGCAGAAGCATGATAAGGCACATTTATTTAAATTGTGTAAAATGCCTTTACCCCAAAGAGGATTTCAGATCATTTTACACAGAAATCAAATGAGCCTTACATTAAACTAAATGGAAATATAATAAAATTGAACATGATTTTTCAATCATCTCTAAAATTAGAATTTTAAATTTAAAAGAATTGAGCAAGTAGGGGAAAAAGCAGAAGAGAAAGCTGTCGTAGACATGACAGATGGATGAAAGAGCTACATATCATTCATTTAGCACAGGTTTTACAGTATCCAAGGACAGCTACTCTGAGCCCCCACCTCTCCCCATGAAAAAATATACTGGGCCCAAAATTATTAATCAGGCCATTTCTTCTGAGAAGCCTGTTTGGTCACTTCCAGCTTCTAAAAGAGGCCTCGAGGTGCGTTCAGAAATTGGGGCAGGGGTCTGGGGGATAATCCAGGTGGTCCTGGGAGCTTCATGAACTTGGTTGGCCATATTTTGGCTACGTCTGTCCTAGCAGATGATAAAGCAGCAACTAGAATTTGGTTGGGAGAGATGAGTTCGCAGTGGCTCAGTGCTTCATTACAAAGTGCAAATTTATGGCGGAAATCATGTTGGGTTTTGCCTTCACAATGGGAATGATGTCCTCAGTGGCAAATTGCACCTGATTAAATACATCCTTTTTTTAAAATCCTGGGATGCATGTGACTTCATCTCATTGCATGTGAGCCGTGCACATCTCAAAACCAAGAGAAAAGTCTCAGTCTGCTATTGCTGCTGGCTTCATTCCTGTTGTTCCAATAGAGCTGTGTGATGGAACTTTTCATGGTACAGTAAGAAAAGTTGTTCTGTATTTTGAAACGAGTTGAGAATATCTTTTTTTCTTTTTTCTTTTAGTTTAGGTATCCTTCAGTCTCGAGAGACTATGGTAACGTGCTCTGTATGGAGGAAATGGAACAGCATCTAGTGTGGTTGAGAAGGCCAATTCAAGAGTGACAATCCCTTCCACAGAAATATAATCTATCCCCTGTCCAGCTCCCTGATTTTGCTGCTTTCAGGACTGCCTCTTGGCCTCGGCCTGCTGGACAAGGGTGTCTTCAAACTGGGAGAGGCTGTGATGCCCTGCCTGCCTCCAGGCTGAACGCTCAGATGTAAAGGTTTCCCATCTCATATTATATGCTTTAGATTGGAGTTTAAGGAAATGTAAAGATTTTCTGAAGTAACAAAGGCTAAAGATGTTGCTTTGACTCCCTGCCCCTCCCACCCTGAGTCCATGCTTGATGGGGTGAAGAGCTGAAGAGCAGGAGTTAATCCTAGTGGTGGAATTAAAGGAGGAAGCCGTCATATACACCAGATTGGACTGTTTGCCTGTTGAGCTCTTCAGAGTCTCAGCTGGTCTATATCCAGCAAACCACA